CCCCCCCCTTAGCTCAAGGTCTGGATCCGCCACTGATTTTCTTATTCTCGGTATTGGACTGGAACTAGCTTTCGGCTGAAGCTAATGTGGGAAGTCTTTTCAAATGCAAATGTCGTTAATCTCTTTTTAATGATCTTCGCCCATATGAGCCTCCATAGCGTGCTAGTTCCAGTCCAGTAACGCGAATACGAAAATGGTCTATAATCATTAGACGAAATTCTTATATCACGTAGTTTAAGTACCGAAGTGTAACCGCTGAGTGGTGTCTGTCCATTGTCCATGGCTTGAACGGTAAACACATAATCGTCTCGTACTTCTCTGTCTAATGCGATCAGCGTCGAAATTTCACCCTGAAAAGAAAGAATTATGAAATTAGTGCTGTTGCCAATACAGACTGCTCGCAGCCCTTCATTTTCTCGTATTTTTATTCGATCGTTGAGCGCGGATAGAAACGCGAGAGAACTGGAAGACTTAACTGGGTAGGGGATGGGGACCGAGATAAGCGCTTCGCTCGCTTTTTTTTTTTTTTTTTTNATTTTCCGCAACCGTAATACTGAGTTCTTGTAAAACAAGTTCAAGACAGAACGTTTTCCTCAATTAGCTATGTTATGCTCCATTAAATTTTCCATTTAGTGAAGCATAGCATAACCCAGAGTAAACAAAAGTGTGTAAATTAGTTAACGTTTTTGACTATCAAATCATAAACTTACTTTATGAAGCCGTCTTCTGGATCGATATTAAACAAATCATCCTTGGCGTCAGCGATAGAATACGTAACACGGCCGTTGTCATGGATATCCTTATCTTCTGCCACAATAGTTAGCACAATGGTACCGACCGGCGTCTTGTCGATAACGTCCGTCTTGTACCTTGCACTCAGGAAATACGGTGAATTATCATTGGTATCTGAGATTACCACGTTTACCGCTACAGTGGACTCCAGACCTCCGCCGTCTTGAACGCGAACGATGAATGAATAAGCGTCCTGAGTTTCTCGGTCCAGTTCCCCCTTCGTCGTCACGCTTCCTGTTTGGGAGTCTATTATAAATTTAGGGTGATCCATGGAATAGGAAATATCAGAATTTACACCATAATCCGGGTCTTTAGCTGTGAGATTGACGAGAAAACTACCGACTGGAGAGTCCTCCGATATTGTCACGGTGTATACCAAACTTTCAAATCGTGGTTTATTATCATTTATATCTGACAGGGTAATAAATACCATACCAAACCCTTCGAGTGGATAATAACTCCCATCTAAAGCCGATATGTTCAGAGCATAATGTTCTTTCGTTTCTCGGTCCAAGGCGCCAATGACGCGGATAACACCATCATTTCTACCAATCTCAAATTTTCCATCCGCCCCAGATATCATTGAATAAGACACCTTTCCATTGAGTTGATGGTCGGGATCAGTGGCATGAACTATAGTCACTGAAAAACCCACTGAAGAATCTTCGCTGACTGTCACGTTTTTCGTCGATGGCTCAAATCGAGGAACATTATCGTTGGCGTCAATAACTTGAATCTTAACAGCTGCAACTGACGCATGCCCAGCTCCTTGCTCATCGACAGCCACAACATAGAATGAGTAGTTTGCAATTCTCTCGTGGTCCAAGGTCGGAAGCGGGAATTTCCTGGTTGAAATAATTCCTGTTATGGGATCGATGGAGAACTGATGTCTCTCAGAGCCATTCAGGTGATAGTGGATATCCGCATGAAGACCCGTGTCAAAGTCAGTAGCTTTAATCTCTTGATGCTGTGAAAAGAATGCGAACATTACTCAGGGATGTTGGTATCAGCCTTCCCCAAAACAAAATACTTAAAATAATGGTTTCTTTTTTTCTACAACGTGAATCAGGGGCCAGTTGTGTCAAAATAACGTTTATTCCAGGTTAGAGTGGTCTGCATTACTGCGCTATACGATTGCCTTACAAAAACTAGCGCATTTTTTCATCCACTCAGACGTGAAGCCAGAACCAATCGTGACTCGCTCGCACATGTTTTCCCGCGCTTCACGTCAGCTACATGTAGAGTTTTGATTGATTCTTTGTAATGTCTTCGTCCTTAATTATTCGCAAGAGTGATCTCTTTCGTTTTGTCTTACGACACTCAATTTAAAACTGGTCTAAACGAAATAGCTCGGTTCGTGTTTTTCCAAATGACTTCTTGTGGGTTGTGAATATTTTGTTTGTAAAAAAACTGTTGCTGCTGTTGTTGTTGCTGCTGTTGTTGTTGTTGTTGTTGTTGTTGTTGTTGTTGTTGTTGTTTATCTCTACGTACTCACCATGTCCACAGTTGTACCGGCTCTGGAGTTTTCCATGATACTCCCAGTGTACGAGGATTGAGAGAACTTCGGTGAGTTGTCGTTCCTATCTAGTATTGTTACGAACACTGTAGCATAAGCCTGAAATAAAATTCATGGAATTTAGAAAAGGTTTAATTTGATGTTTCCGCTTCTTCCATGAAAAACAATGAAGAAAATTACTAAATTCATGAAATGTTGCAGTGTTTTGCTGTAAATATGGTAAATAATTATGCAAGCCATCACTCATCACTTAACGGGCTACAAATAGAGTGTATTTAAACGTCAGGTTTATACATTACCTTTCTACTAAGTGGAACCCCTCCATCAGCTGCAGTCACTATCAGAGTGTAGCTATTCTGTTGCTCTCGATCAACATGACTTTCGATTTTAACCGTTCCATATGTGTCCTGTGGGGGAAAAGGACTGGTAGTATATAATGGTGTTTAATTGTAAATTGTACGTAGAGCTAGAGGACCATTCCTTCGCCTCTGCACTTTTAATGTGTGGAAGTCGTTCATTACGATTCATTCATTTATTCATTCATTCATTCATGCATGCATCCATGCATTCATGCATTCATGCATTCATGCATTCATACATTCATGCATTCATACATTCATGCATTCATGCATCCATGCATTCATGCATTCATGCATTCATGCATTCAAGTCATTCATTGTCTCCATTTCTGTTCTTATTTTTCTTTTCAAATTCATCAGTCATTCCACCACTAATATCAATTTTTCTAAGGTACAAGATGGTTTCCAGGCTATTTTTAAGCTCCTTTATAAACAATCGACTCTTCTTTGATGATTTATCCATTCACGCATTCCAAGATGTACAGGCTTACCTGTGTATCCACAGTAAACACTGAGAATGGATCTCCTCCTGTGACAGTATAAGTGATCCTAGCATTCTGGCCACTGTCTGCATCTGTCGCTGTAACATTGACCAAGGGTGTTCCCTCGAGGGAATTTTCGTACACGGAAACGGTATAATTCACCGGGTCAAACACCGGATCATTGTCGTTAATGTCACCAACCTCGATGTGAACTTGAGTCTACAACAATCGAGAAAAAAATCAGGTTTTTGAAATGCTATGCAACTGTCTACGTGTTCCTATCTTTATCATTAATAAAACTAGACTTTGATTTTATCTAGTGGTTCTTAAAAGAGTGAAATGAGTGGCAACAAGTTCCGTATTAATGTACGAATAACCTTTTTCATGAAGTTTCATTGTTTCCACATTACGGTATGTTTAATACTAAAGTTCCACGCAGCCTAATAGGAAATTTTCGGTCAAAGAGGTTAATGGCTGTATTTTTCAACCTTGTTTCCGCAAGAAAAAAATTGAAATTCATATTGAAGTGAAGCAGATTTAAATCTACTTCACTTCAATATTCTTAAACGGCAAGTTAATATTATCCTTACTTCGACGTGCGTTAATCAATCACGCTACGGTTTATTACAACAACGAAATCACTCAGTCTTGTATAAGTGGTTTCTCGTAACTGCCTTCAAGTTTACAACAGTGTTATACAGCTCCAGGAGAGTTCAAATCGAATGGCTTCCCGCAAGTTAGGCATTGATTCTTGCCACGTCTTGTCGTGCCACTTCACCTAAGCTTAAACTTGTTTCATTGCAGGGAACACAAATATAATAAAGGAACGAATGTTATCCCAGGGATATTGAACACAAAAAGGTTAACTACGATCAGAAAGAAAGGCAATTAAATTTCAGATACCGTAGCGATACGCGCGGGTTTTCCTTGATCTGACACGCCAATAGTAAGGGTGTAGGAGAATGTTTGCTGACGTTCAAGGTTTTTGCGAGTTCTGATCATGGCTGTATGTGAATCCAATGAAAAATCACCTAAGAAAGAATGATACAATTATTTATTATGACAAAGTACAAGAATCGTTAAAAAACATAGGAAAAACAAAAAAAAACTTAAAACTTGATTCCATGAGACTCACTCCCAGTGTTCCCAGAAATCAGTTCGTAAACCAATTCGCTGTTGCTTCCTGCATCCGGGTCAATGGCCACCGCTGCAATGACGTCACTGTTGGCTTTGGCGCCTTCGGATATTTTAACGCTGTAACCATTTGGCGGGAACAACGGTGTGTTGTCATTTATATCAACAATAAGCACACGTACCTGAAAGATGGACCCGTAGAGAGAAATGAGGGGAACTGGAACGAGCCAACATAATGTAACCAAACCACAAGGACGAGTTCAGTGGAAGATAAAAGAACTGTTAAAAGCTAAGAGGGATTCCGTTCAAAGTTCGAATAATAAGTGCGATAATTATTTAATAAAGATCTTCTCATAGCACGGTAACATTTTCAATACTATTTGAAACATCTCACTTTAACCTCCCTCATTTCTCTGAGTGACCCCGCGGTTAAGTTCCCAAGTATTCTCCAGATAGTTAAAGTCAAACCTCATAACAAGGCTCAAAGCGTGCGTTATTGTGTTTTGAACTCAAATGTAACGTCCGTTTTAGTTAAAATATGGATAACATCAGATTCAATTTTTCAGCTTGAGAGTCTCCTTCAGTTCTCCTTAACTGTATTCAAAATGTTAAGTTACCATGCTATGAAGTGTTTTTTTGGCAACATTACTTTTAACCTTATTGGTAGATTACTGACCAAGAAAGTCTCAACACTAGGGAGGATTAAACTCTGATCTTTGTTCTAAAAGACAGCCCAAGAATTCAGTTTAACAAGAAGATCGTTAAGCATTTCCATTTCAACGCTCCTTTAAACAAATTAGCAATTGTTTGATAATCACCGTGGCTGTAGTCCGCTGTGTTGGTGAGCCATGGTCAATGGCTTCTACCATTAATGTATACACTCCTCTTCCATCTGCATCAACTGCTAACCCAGGCGCTTCGCGGTCAAGGTCTTTCCTTGTTGTGATTACACCCTAAGTTTGAGATATCACAATTTCTTAACAGAAAAGCAGGAAAGCAAATATAGCGTCAGAGAGAAAAAATAGGGGTGTGGGGTGGGTAGAGTTCGTGTTGCATTGTTGAGATCGAAAAGCAACTCCCATAATAATAGTATAAGTGAATATGTAGCATCTGTAATATGATGAAGTACTTGTTACAGTGCGAACCAAAACAGTGTAAGTATTTGTGGATTGTTATTACGTCGTTAAGGAAATCTATATGGAATGAATGAATTGGAAACCGTCGGATTCAACAAATCTGTTTTTGTTTTGCACACACGACTGACGTTAATAATGCTGTCTTTTTGCAATCGATTTTGGATCTTAGTGTATCTTACCGTATCACCATCAATTTGAAATACATCCCCTAAGTTTCCTCCACTGATCGAGTATGTAATAAGCTTGTTATCTCCATCATCCTTGTCAGTAGCATTTACTTGTNTCTCGCTTACTTCTGTTGCTCCTCATAGTCCAGCTTTCCCACTGTACTTATAACTCCTGTCTGTGGGTTGATTGCAAACTTTCCCTCTGAGGAGTACCCAAAGTAGGTGACAATTTTATTACTACCAACATCCGGGTCATCAGCTATCAACGTATAGACAGGCATCCCGGGAAGAGCAGATTCACTAATAGGAATGTTCAGTGCCAGCTCGCGAAAAGAAGGCGGGTTGTCATTAGCATCAGCTATGTTAATATCAACTTCAACGCTTGTCGATTTTGGGTCACCTGAGAAAGAAGAAAAAAGCTTTGGTCAGTATATAGTTTATACTTGCATTGTAGTTATGTGAACAAAGCAGCTGCAAAAATGAAGCCTGAAAACAAATTAAACTTGAGCGGAATTTAAGCGTGATTTATAAATAAAAAATCAACAAGAAAATTGTGTTTTTTCTTTTTTTCTTACGAGCACAAGTAGTAGAAAAACTATTGTGGGAACAAAATTTGTGCTTTCTCTTGGAGTTCTGAATTGCTCCAAGGCTACATAACAACATTCAAGAGAAAACAACAAAAAGATACCTGCTCGATCTTCAGCGGTTATCGTTAGCTCGTAGGCGTCTTTTGTTTCTCTGTCTAACTTCTTAGCAACCAGTATAACTCCAGATGAGTTGATCGCAAATACATTACCCACATTACCACCTGCACCCAACAAAACAAAAAGACATACCATGAAAGTTTCTTTGGAATCAAATCAATAACCATGTTTCCGTTTATTTTCTTTGAATCAAATAAGGACAGGATCTTTTAGACTGAGAAAAAACTTGTGAGAAGTGCCGTTGCTGTTTAGATGATAGTAAATTCAATGCATCTTTCACTAAGACAAAAAAGGAACCCAAGCTATTCGCTATTAAGGCGATTGCATAGAAACGTGAGACTCTTTTCTAAGCAACCTTCGGGGCGTGAGCCGATTAAATTATGATTGGACGAGAAAAGTCAGGTTCTCTTCAGCAGTTATACGAGTGCTTGGCAGCAAAGGCATATTTTCATTAATTAAACATTACTACGGACATGACGAAGTAAAAAGCTTTCTTTTTCAAATATTTTTCAATTCTTGCCAATTCATGTACACTTAATTTTGTAATCTGCTACTATAGAAAACACAAAACTTTTAGCGCTTTTTCTATCCTCCATCGACTCTCTAAACTTCTTTTTTTTTTTTTTTACAATTAGCGGTTTGCTCTCGTAGTGGCGACAGATTCATGTCCACAAAACTTTTCCATATATAGTATTAGTTAACAATTAAAAACGAAACTGTAGTAGAGTTTCAATGACTTGATTACAGACCTGTGATAGAGTAAATAATTGCTCCTGCCAGTCCCTCATCGTCATCCACAGCATGAACCACAATAACAACCGTATTTATTTCACTGTCCTCTCTCACCTCAGCCAAATAAGTGAATTTATCAAACCGAGGGGCGTTGTCGTTGATGTCGGACACGGTTATATTGACAAAGGCCGTGGAGGACTGGGGCACAGGATACCCATGATCCCTTGCTGTCACGGTCAATGAATAGCCATTGGGTTTGGCTTCGCGGTCAACTTTAGCCATGATGCTGATAACACCTACACAAAAATGGAAACAACAGTATCATAAAGTCTGCATACGAGAGCCAAGTGGCCCATTAGGTCTGAGTGTATCACTGCTTTCAGTAGCATGAAGCGAGTAGGAGTACTTCCACTCCCCCCCGGATGGAATGCTTGTCCATTGCGGCGTCACCCCCTACCCCTTCCTCCCCATCCCCCTCTCGTTCCACCAGCATTAAATTCGCCGGTACTCATTTATACACGGTCCTGGGTGGAGAGAGGCACTGTGAGAGTAAAGTGTCTTGCCCAAGAAGACTACACAATGTCCACGGCCAGGGCTCGAACTGGATCCGGAGGTAGGCGGACTAACCTTATAACCCACTGCGTCTCCCCAAACATACCAGTTGTAAATTATGCTAATAGTTATTGCTTGAAATTATACTCCAGAAAATAAACAAAGGCGGTCTCTTTTGCTTATTAATCGAAATGCCACATTTCATGATACACATAGAGATTTTGCCTCCATTATGGAGTGAAAGCAATTTATTAACCATCTTCTGTCCGGGGTTTTCCCTTTTGTCGCTATGGCAGTCTCGACTAGTCGACTTCGTGTTAGATTTCATGAACGTAAAAAAACGTTGAAAAGTTCAGGTTGTAATATTTCAAAATGACAGCGAAGGCAATACATCGCTTAATTTGACTCTTATCCAAAAATTACTTTTTTTACTGTATTTAAATATTTACAATTTAGTGTGGACGTAACTCACCTGAAGTCTTGTTGATAGCAAAAACCCCGTCCCCTCCCATAAGAGTGAAGACGACATCGCCGTTGCCACCGTGATCCGGGTCATCAGCTAATACCCGGATGATGGATGACGCAACAGTTGCATTCTCGCTGATGGCCACTTGGTACACAGACTCAGTGAACTGGGGAGAGTTGTCATTTTCATCTTCAACTTCGACCTCTAATGACACAGTGGTGCTCTGTAAGAGTAACGTCACACTGGTTAAAAATTTGTTTTGGTCTAAAACAAGGGTGCTTTCCATTTTGCCAAAAATTCCGGAAATTTTTGTCAGAAGTCAAATGTAAAGGTCGTTTCGGTTCGTTCCGACCGGAAAATTCGAACCGGTCGGACCGAAATTTGCCGTTCCATTTTGACAAACAGGTTCATTGCACTACTTCTCTTGAGTAGATTTAAAATTCGGGAAAGGAACAAAAAATGGTAAGAGCCATTCCTCTTGGTTGGCCGGTTTGATCAGAAAATGCCGTTCCATTTTCCTCGGGATTCTCTGACCATGGTAATCACCCAAAGAACCACGTAATCAACACATTCTCACTATCAACAGGTCAGTTTAGGTCCAATATGGTATATTGGTGCCAATAATAAACTCCAGTTTGTTTAGTATATGTAGAGGGAAACAATTCTGCAAATCGGGCTCTATTCTACTCCAGCTGTATGATGAGGCGGCTAGTCTATAGGAGGTCTCTTACCAAACAACTTAACACGGCGACAATTAACGCGCGCTTGTCTGATCGTTTGGCCATTTGATCGAAACTCCAAGCACACCAAACACGAAGACACCGGCGCGGCGTGATTTCTTAATTAGGTTGGTACTGTGACAAAAAGCTAAGAGCATAACTTTTTCTCTTCTTTCGACTATTTTCTTTTTGTCAGCTTTCCGTAATATCCAGTACTCCTTAGCATATCCTTATTTTTCAGTGAAACTCGACGCATTTACGTAACATGCCTTTGAAGGAATAACTGATAAGCTTTACTCTTATCTTTCACAGCTTTCAAACCAAAGGCAGCTACTTGTAAAATAATATACTTTTACAGAAGTTTACGTATTATCTATCACACGCTATCAGATTCGCGAGTAGGTCTAGACCATTTGGACCTAATATGCGCAAGGAAAAGTGACGTGGGAACAATATTGTGCAGACTGCGTCCGATTCTGGGAAAGGTGAAGCAAAAGTCGATCATTGACAATGAAATACCACTATGCTGTGACACTTTCCGAACTTTATTTTTCACCATTACACAATTCGCGAGTTTCGTTCTCTATATATAGCCTTCTTACAAGTCTGACAGTACAAGATCCAGTATCTGATACTGAAAATTCTAGTATTCAGTATGAGCTTCAGTCTTAGCGTACTCAGAGAAACCAATATTTGGATACTAGCACTGTGACAACTGTTCGCAAATATCAAACAACCCAGTAAATAATCAGTTACCTTTGCAGCCTCCCCTCCTCCGTCAGTGGCTTGCACGGTCAGATGGTAATGAGCCTGCTCCTCCCTGTCCAGCGGTTGGGTTGTGTAAAGGACGCCGGTAGATGAGTTAATCGCAAACATGTCAGTATTTACGGTGAATGTAACCTGGCTGTTGGGGCCATGATCGGCATCTTCAACTGTCAGCTGTATAACACAGAGACGCACAGATAAGGGACATGCGCATAAGGTGTAGCAAAATATGCAAGAAATGCCAGGTTCAAAATCCTCAATAAAACCTCTACAAAGCTGTTCACGTAACCAAGCAATTTAGGTACTTAAACGGGTTTTGCAGGTGATGAAGACAGCATACCAAGATTTGAATTTTGTCACGAGAAAAGAGAAGTTCTTGGATATAGCGATCAATTAACAAGAATTAATTTGACATAACTTGGTAGAATCGTAGTCTGCGAATACAGTTGAGTCTTATTCTTGTCACTTCCGGCCGTTTTAGCGCTTCGGCCGGGAATGGTGTGGCTCGTCTGTATTGGGCGATCAGAAACAAATAATTTCTGGCGAAAGAAGGGACGAGAATTCTTCATCTAAAATGAGCTATAATTACAGATAACTGGATCGTTTGCATAATCAACTGGGCATCAGGGACGTCAATTACAGCTGACATCTTTGAACCGTAAGGGGGAATGTACCTACCCGTAGAACACTTTGACCAGAGGGCAAATTCTCTCTTACACTTGCAACATAAGAGTTTGGTATGATGATTGGAGAATTATCATTCACATCAACGATGTTTATTGTCACTTGTACAGTGTTTTGCAGAGATGGATGTCCTCCTAACAAAAAAAAAAAAAAGAAAAAAAAAGAATTCGGCCAATAAGAAGGGGACTTATATAAGTCTTTAGCAGATATCAAATTCAATTATTCATTTTAAAAATTCCTATATATAAACGCGAACTATTATCACATTTGTTTGTGGGCATCTCTATAAGATAATCCAATCAAAGTATATTTTTTTTATGTCAGCTTTAATTATCGATTAGTTCATAAAAACTTCTCACCGTCTTTAGCCTGAACTCCAAGTATAAATTGATTAATGTTTTCTCGGTCCAGGTCCCTAGAGACTTTGATTTCTCCGGTACTCTCATTTATGGTGAATGNTAGAATCGTAGTCTGCGAATACAGTAGCGCTTCGGCCAGGAATGGTGTGGCTCGTCTGTATTCGGCGATCAGAAACAAATAATTTCTGGCGAAAGAAGGGACGAGAATTCTTCATCTAAAGTGAGCTATAATTACAGATAACTGGATCGTTTGCATAATCAACTGGGCATCAGAGACGTCAATTACAGCTGACATCTTTGAACCGTAAGGGGGAATGTACCTACCCGTAGGACACTTTGACCAGAGGGCAAATTCTCTCTTACACTTGCAACATAAGAGTTTGGTATTATGATTGGAGAATTATCATTCACATCAACGATGTTTATTGTCACTTGTACAGTGTTTTGCAGGGAAGGATGTCCTCCTGAAAAAAAAAAAAAAAAAGAATTCGGCCAATAAGAAGGGGACTTATCTAAGTCTCTTGCAGATATCAAATTCAATCATTCATTTTAAAAATTCCTATAAACGCGAACTCTTATCACATTTTTTGTTTGTGGGCATATCTATAAGATAATCCAATCAAAGTATAATTTTGTTTTTATGTCAGCTTTAATTATCGATAAGTTCATAAAAACTTCTCACCGTCTTTAGCCTGAACTCCAAGTATAAACTGATTAACGTTTTCTCGGTCCAGGTCCCTAGCGACTTTGATTTCTCCAGTACTCTCATTTATGGTGAATGCATTCTGTAAGTTTCCACTGACAATGCTGTATGATACTTGACTGTTGGAACCTCCATCGCTGTCATCTGCTTCAACCTATAAACAAGGATTATACGAGCGCACTGTAAATTTTAAGCAGGAAAAAAGCACACTGGTCGGTAACTCGGGTTACGGGTTCTGATTGGTCTATTGAAGTAGTTTGAGAGAACGCACATCCTCAAGATGGCGGCCATTTAGACAAACGGCCAGACAAAACCTGTTATGCATGTGTGAATGTGAATATCATCAGCCAAATAAAAAAAAAGAATTGCAATACAAAGCGTCACTAGTCAGTCAATCAAGTAAATTCCTCATAAAACATATAATCTAATGTATCAACCACAATATTTACCTGCAATGTAACAAATCCAACATCGGAATGCTCTGGGAGATCCGCCACGTAATTTGTCTGTCTAAATACTGGAGGATTATCATTGATATCCAGGACTTCTATTTCCACGACGGTTGAATTATATCGAGGGTGATCTGGATCTAGATCCATAGCTTGCACCTCGAAACTGTAGTTTGCTTGAGTTTCTCGATCCAGTTCACCAACAGCAGTTATTACACCGTCGTCTGAGATTGCGAAATTGTCCATGTACTGGGGATAGCTTGGCATTTCTTTACCAGTGACATGCCCTAAAAAGTGTACAAATGATAAAAAAATAACAACTACTAACTATAAACTATAAACTTAAACAACAATCGCTAACTACATGTACTAGGTTTCCACTAACTTTGCTGCAAACAGTCGCGAATGATGGAACAATTTAGATAAGTCATCGAGGGAGATATATTCTCCTATTACTATACTTTTCTATTTGATTGTGTTAATTTTACTAGATTCATGATATATATAGTTGTATAGTATATATATGTATTTATATATTGTTTTAGTTTTGTTACTTGTAATTTTTGTTGGAGGAACATTCTGTAAAGGGCTCTCGGGTTAAGTAGGTTTCCTCAAAACAGATTTACTCTACTAAAAAATATTGACCAATCTTAGCCTGCATTCAGACGTCTACAGGAGCCCATCGCATCTACCATTTTACTTCAACGTCTATACCCAGGCTAACCAAACTGATTTCGTCGTAAAATAATAACTAATAAAACTAACAGTTATCGATACTCACGAGAAATTTTATACGAATGTAGCACCTCAGCGTCTGTAAGGCGCTTGCGCCAAATGAGAAGATCGCTGACCGACAAATTACCGTAATGGTCAAGACTTTCAGCGTTATATTTCCCGACAGTCAGTTGGGTGAAAATGTCACTTGCACGTGTGATGTCCTCTGGGGCCTGGGTAGATGTGATCAACTGTCCGTTTTGAAAGTAACGCAATCCAGCTTCAATACCCCACGTGAATGCGAAGTAAAACCACTCCTGTGAATTTCGAAATATACAATACACAAAAAGAAGATAAAATAATTCTTCGAGAAGTTTATGATGGCTTTTAATCGTTCTGTATGTGTGTGATCATCTAGGCCGTTTCCAAATGCAGTGGCTGAGGCTGGGTGGCGCTCAACTTCAGATCTGTAACCTGAAGTGGTTAGAAGTTTGTGAAACTCCCCCTAGCAATTTAGACTGCAAAATATGGTCCCCTTTTCTTGTTTGCCTGACGTGACTACGATGCGTGACGTGCGTATGCGTGACGCGCGTGTATTTGTGACGTAAGTATGCACGAAGCTTTTCGAATACGATGACATGAAGATAATAATGTGATTTCCCTTCCCTTAGTTTTCCTCAACCACAATACCTAAATGACCGGTTATTATTGCGTTTTCAATTTCCTCCGGTGTAGTGTGCACATGTAGTCTAATAAACACGTAGTCTAATAAAATAGGAGTTCGTGATCTCCAAAGGAGATCACGTTACCGAGATGTCACAAGGTTAGCTGATTAACTAGATGGTGGGTATTTAACTGGCACTAGACTAAACAAGAGTTACCTTTGGTATATCGTTCACTTTTAGGCTCCATTCTTTTGTTGAAGTTTCCAAGATAAGCTTGAAATCACCAGCAGCTGACTCGCGATAAAAATCAAACCCTGTGGCAAACCTTGATGCTCCTCCAGATGAGATAATGGACTGACCCGATGTAAACTTCATCCATAAGGCCAGTGATAACCCTTCAATGCACAGAGTCGGATTACTGATGCAATCATCTGAGAAAATAAATATCAGATATTTTTCTGGTTTGAAACAAGAAAAATTATCTTTAATCTTCCCTTATTGCTATCCCCTCGGCAAATTAAAAGGCTTTACAATACATGTATTATAATTTCAAAATTGTTATATGTTTCAGTACAAATGCAAAGAGCAACAATTCCGAATTTTGTCTCGAAAACCTCGAAGACGGTCGACGATCGCCCTCCCGCGTATTCCGAAGATTGCCGAAGACTACAATCTTATGGTGCGTGATATTTATAACGTACCACTGTACATAAAATGACAATTGCTGTTACGCATTCCCTGAACATTAAAGCAAAAACAGATTTGAGGCTGATATTGTCAAATAACAGTCTACAAACTTTCTTGGCTTCTTAAATAGGTGATGTTTGAGTCCTCATAAATGGTGATAGTTTGCAAGTGTTCATAAGTCTGCCCGCAACAGGGCTATTAAATGTTGAACTGCGGGTACAACGAAATGCGTGAAATCTCCTGAAATCGGCGATTCCACGAAATGCGTGAGATCTCGTGAAATCTCGCGTCGGCACAACGACTCTACGAGAAAAGCTACTCGATTCGGATCTCGTATACATGCAAATTCGCATCGCATCTCTGAAATTATAATATGACCTTTCAGTGAGTCACTAATTCAGTAATTGAACGAGCGTTCTGTCTACGTGCAATAAACTAAATGAACTTATCATTGTACAATAAGTCCTTGAGCCTGTGAACGAATAGTCACTGTCAAACAGAAATGGCGCTATGATAACAACCATTTCTGATTTGCCTTTTATCTCTGTTTCCAGACGTACGAGTCCTCGAGCGAAATGTTTTCATTTGAAAATGAGATTGATTTGCATGAAGATGAACGGGCATTTGAAACAAATTTTCATGTGAATGGTTTCGTTCGATGACTATATGGTATGGTTTTCGGCACACCGAGGTAAGAGGCAACTCGGAAATGTCGGAAATAGCCTATTTCCTTTTTTCCTCGAAGATAAAAAGTTCAATTTCAGTCCCGTTCAAAAGAAGGGACGAAATAAAATAGAGCGAGATGCGTGACGGTAACACAATGCTATATTTATGAAACATCTCACAAAAACATGATTACTATTCATAACGTGCTGAAAGTGCCATACCTAGATATCTCTCACAATTAATGATTTTTAGTTTGTATATGATTCTGTAAATTTTTTTTCATGCATCTCTAACGTTTATAGGTAATAATACCTTTCTGATAATGTCTGTTTCCATCTGAAATTTTGTGAAATGATTATTTAATATATATATATGCGACTTAATTCCGTTTATGTTTTTGCAGAGAGCATGGGTCATTTATTATTGATTTACGTTTATGAGCGGCTGCGTTGTTTGAAAACACAAAGATGTTGCATGACGAGTTCGAAACAGGATTCCCGTACTAAACGAAACTAAGGAGCAAATAATGAGACTGATTTCCGTGTGTCGTCAGTTCCTTTCCTTAATAAACCGCGCACTGAACGGCCAGCAAAATTGATTTTATTGCATTGAAGATACATGTAACTGAAATACAAAAGTTTTATGGCAGGACTATATCACATTTTAAAAATTAAGGAGAGAAGAAAACTGATGAGGTCGAGTTAGTGGAAGAGGGGTGTCGAATTCTAAGAGATAACCCTCAACCGTCCGGACCTCGACACAACATTGTAAACTCCGTGTAGTTATATGACTCAGGTCTGTCCGTCGCATAATTGTGGGATGTGGAAGACAAAGTATACCGTCACGCATGCGCACTGAAAATTCAAAGGTTAATCTATAAATACCTCCTCCCTGTGCTTAATTGTGAAATTAATTAGAAAACGCTGATTCNACTCGAACACATCATTGTTTATAAACATTGCCGCAATTTACATTTGTTATTAACATTTGGCAACCTTTGAACAAAAGAACTCAAGAACACCTACTTATGTCTGGGCCCGTCATAGATGACGTAATGCAAAAATATAACTATTTATCGCGTTCAGAAATTACAGAAGAGTGAAATGTTGAAGCGCGCCGTCTTAACCTTGCTTTGTTTTGGTTTCACTGAAGATCATATTGATGGCTTCATTTCCCAATAACTCGAACACATCCGCAAATACAATAATAATAATAATTATTATTATTATTATTATATTATTATTATTATTATTATTATTATTATTATTATATTCCCAGAATTGTTGAAGAAAATGCTAACAGTCAGCGTGTAGTTTGTCATGCTTAACTGGATTTTTTGTCGCCTTTCGTTTTTTTACCTAATGTTCTGATCTTAATTTTAGTACACTAAACTTAATTAACTAAGTTAACTAAGAGCTATACACACGCGATATTTGATTTCCGACAATTCGTTGATTTACTTTGAAGACTAACGAAAACTTTCCAGTACACTTGACTGAGAGATAATTCATTGCTGTTACTTAGGCATGAATGGCTCCTCTTGGTCCAGAAATACAAAGAACGCCAGATTTAAAAGTAAATGTTAAAATATTTGAAGGTCAATTTATGGCGAGAAATACCTAGGTCGTCAAAGGCAACACTCAGCCATCAGACCTTCGACTTTCCCATAACGAAGGAAGAAGTATTTAAATATGAACTTTCGGGCTTTCGCTTAATTATGGTGCATCGTTTGACACATGACTCCTCTGCGCATGAGTAATGATTAATCAGGCTATTTACTATCAAAGCAAATGACATCGATAAAACTCGATTTAAACGTTGACTGTTCTGTTGGCCTTTTTATTCCTTTCATGCATTCTAAATTAATATTCAACAAAAACAGTACTTATTTTCCCAACTGATCAAGGCGTAAAGTTTACCTTTAAAATAAATCAGCACATGAACAATAATATCTTAAAATAATTACGTCAACAGGTAAATATTTAAGGTAAAATACCTTTAAAATTGCCCATAAGTATCCAGGCCTCCGGTGCTTCGAGTGACAACACGTCGCCGAGATCTGGGTCCGAGACTATTTTGGCGCCATTCTTCAGCTCTGCCTGAACACCTCCACGAATGTCCAGGACTTTACCATTCTCCTCTCGGTCTAAAGGCCAGTGATGATCACGATAGAAACCTAAAGGTGTATATCAAACAAGAGAAACCCGCCATTAAAGAAGCTACGTCACGGTTTTCTCATTTTGACAAGTTTAGCCTGAATTTTTCAAGTTCGCTGTTTGTAGCAATCCATGCTTATCTGGTGAAGAATACAAAAGCAAAAACCGACACAACATAGAATGATTTTTTGAAGGTGTACTATATTTCGGCTGGCCAAACCAGCCTTCTTCATGTACAATGGAAGATTTTACATTGGTGCGTGTTTTTAT